CCTATAGAACTCACTTAGTCCCATCTTGTTAGGACAGGTACTCACATCTCCCTACCAATAGAGCTCACTGAGTCCCATCCTATTAGTACAGGCACACATTTCCCTACCTATAGAGCTCACTAAGTCCCATCCTGTTAGTACAGGTACTCACATCTCCCTACCTATAAAGCTCACTTAGTCCCATCTTGTTAGTACAGGTACACATCTCCCTACCTATAGAGCTCACTAAGTTCCATCTTGTTAGTACAGGTACATGTATCCCTACCTATAGCACTCACTTAGTCCCATCTTGTTAGCACAGGTACACATCTCCCTACCTATAGAGCTCACTAAGTTCCATCTTGTTAGTACATGTACACATATTCAACCTATATAACTGAATAAGTCCACCCTTGTTAGTACAGGTACACGTGTCCCTACCTATAGCGCTCACGAAGCATATCTCCCTACCTATAGAGCTCACGAAGTCCGATCTTGTTAGTACAGGTACACGTCTCCCTACATATAGAGCTTGCTAAGTTCTATCTTGTTAGTACAGGTACACATCCTCCTACCTATAGAGCTCATGGAGTCCCATCTTGTTAGTACAGGTACTCCCATCTTCAGGTACTCATCTCCCTACCTATAGAGCTCACGAAGTCCGATCTTGTTAGTACAGGTACACATCCTCCTACCTATAGAGCTCATGGAGTCCCATCTTGTTAGTACAGGTACTCATCTCCCTACCTATAGAGCTCACGAAGTCCGATCTTGTTAGTACAGGTACATGTACGCATCTTCTACCTATATAACTGACTAAGTCCCATCTTGTTAGTACAGGTACTCATCTCCTACCTAAAGAGATCACTAAGTCCCATCTTGTTAGTACAGGTACTGATCTCCTACCTATAGAGCTCACTAAACCCCATCTTGTTAGTACAGGTACACGTCTCCCTACATATAGAGCTTAGTAAGTCCTATCTTGTTAGTACAGGTACACATCTCCCTACATATAGAGCTCACTAAGTCCCAACTTGTTAGTACAGGTACAGATCTCCCTACCTACAGAGCTCAATGAGTCCAATCATGTTAGTACAGGTACACATTTCCCTGCCTATAGAGCTCAATAAGTCCCATCTTGTTAGTACATGTACACTTATCCCTACCTATAGAGCTCACTAAGTACCATCTTGTTAGTACAGGTACACATCCCCCTACCTATATAGCTCACTAAGTCCCAGCTTGTTAGTACAGGTACACATCTCCCTACCTATAGAGCTCACTAAGTCCCACCTTGTTAGTACAGGTACACATCGTCTACCTATAGAGATCACTAAGTCCCATCATTTTAGTACAGGTACACGTCTCCCTACATATGAGCTTACTAAGTCCTATCTTGTTAGTACAGGTACACATATTCCTATCTATAGAGCTCACTAAGACCCACCTTGT